AGACCATCCAAATGGGCAGAGATGTGACAACAAAATCAGAACTACGAAATACACTCTACTCTCTTTTATCCCTAAAAACTTATTTGAACAATTTCATAGAATAGCAAATGTGTACTTTATATTTATAGTGTTGTTAAACTGGGTGCCGGCTATAAATGCATTTGGCAAGGAAGTGGCTATGCTGCCTGTGTTGTTTGTGCTTGGTGTGACTGCTATCAAGGACTTGTTTGAAGACCGTCGCAGGCACCTCTCTGACAAGAGGATCAACAATTCATTTTGTCGAGTCTACAAAAAGTAAGTTTATTTTAGCAATTGTTTTTTTAGACTTAATATTTACTGTAAGATTAGCTGCTGATAATAATAAATTGAACTGCTTCAATACTCTAAACATTATTTGAAATGTTATAAAATGCAAAACATGTTACATTCCTTTGATAATGTGAAAGTGATAATATACACTTTTTATTTCTCATAATAACCTGTTTGACTTATCAAGAATAACATAAAAATTACATTTCAATTATAAGCTACAGTTATGTGTAATTGCTGTAACTCATTATGTAAATTGGAACATTGATAAATAGAGTGAGACAACAATAGTCATTGCTTTCTACAAAATGATAAAGCCCTTAAGCAATAATTCATTTTGTAACATTTATTTTTGGCATCACTGGATTATTTTTGATATTTTTATTTTACTCACAGTATTTTGTCATTTGGCCATAAATAAATTGCAGATTTTAATGATAAATATAAAACCATAATAACCTTTATAATATTTCTTCAGATTTATTATTCCAATAGACTTTGCAATATTCATACAAGTATTGTCATTTGTTGAATAAAATGGATACTGCAATAGGGAGATGCTAAATAATAAAATAACGATTAAATCACATTTCAAAGAGAAATAACACATGCATGATAATATTAAAATCTATTTGTTATACATAGTATACAGTTATTTTCAAAGGTTACCTTATTTAAAATGAAAAAACTCCCAAATGAATCTGAGACCTTAATCAGGAGCATACATACCCGCGTCCACAATACAACGCAAACACGCCATTATTATCTTGAACTACGTATGTATATTCCGAAAAATGCAATAGAAAACATTTAAGTTCAACTTTATATAAGCCTAAATATATTTCTAAACAAATCAACATTGTCGTTGCTTTATAAATTCAACTGCCATAACACCTGTGCAAATACATATTGTTGTCTCTTTCAATCTTTGAAAAACAATTGGTGATGACTACAATAGTAAAATTATCTTGAAAACCATAATTCGTCACGACTGTACAAGCATTAACGCAAGAAAATAACTTTATCGACAAATAACGATGGGATGATAATCTTACGATGTCTATTACGGCTCAGTCTTCCGGTATTTTAATATTTAATGTATTGGGAAATAATACAGTGAAAAACATAGTCAATAATCTTCATCTATTTCATTCATGTAGTGACGATACTCATTTAGCTATGAATAGTGTCTAAAGTCAACAAATCACCTTAAAAGAAAATAAATATGAAAGTGTGTTTGAAACCCTATAAGTTTCAATAAATTAAAGTCAATACTCTGTCGGCGTTATACATGTGACACTAACTCGTCTAGGACGTTGAACCTCTGGTAATTTAATAATCTAAACGTCCTGCGATGAACTTTTTGATTCGTTATAATTGTAAAATTCTAGTGAAGTGGCAGCTGAAAAACAGCGATATAACGCAAATTGTTCACAAAAGTATAACATATACTATACTAATGTTATCAGAAGAAATATAAGTAATTAAAAATATGCAAAAGCGTGTCTTTAATAAATTTGTTGTAAGCTAAAGTACGGCTCGAAGTTCCATCATTACACGCTTTCCACAGTTCGCAGCTAATTCTCTATGCCATGATTGATTATCTGCGAAGCTTCATCCATCATAGCGACGCAATTTCTTGCTCAATACCTCAAGATTACTGTCGTCTTGTATCTCAATAGAGCACTCGGCTGTGTGAACATTTTTTAATTGGAATGTGTAACGTAAAGAAAAGTTTCTATGCTAAAAATGCAAGTACCGTAATTGCAAGATCACGAAGTCATTATTACCCATTGATTAGTTAACTAGCGGTCGACCGCAAACTTCGTCAGCGAAGAATTAAATAAAAATTTTGGACAAAACATTTATACATGCATCAGCATCCCGTAAAAAGAGTTCATCTATTCCGAAAATCGATAATCCATCCATTGCCCAAAATTTTAACTTTGGAAGCCAATTAAAAAATAATGTTGGATTTCCAAGAGTTGTTGAAGCGTTAATTTTTTTTCCAAACAAACGATAAATAATTGACGATAGATCGAGTTTAAACCTTCTAAAGTGCAGTGTGTGGTGTCGATTATTTCCGTAGCATAGATCATTTAAGCTTCCGGATTTACCGCACCGAGGACCTCTATCCACCGACTTTACGGAGCATAAAGTTGCTATTTATATAAATCACTGTTACAAATAGACAAGTAATTTAATTGGCAACTTAAAATATGTAAAGTAATTTTACAATAAAGCATATTTTCTATCTAGCAAAAGTCAACTTCCTCAATTCTTGTCTAGTAATGATAATGGTTTAATAATGTTTAACCGCAGTTATAGCCAACATCGTTTTTTAACTAATGCGTCGTAGGTAATAATTATCCGCGTAATTCACTATTTTAAAACTATTAAATACTATTTAGGAACTTTCATTATCTAAGTCTTCGTCATCAAACCTTAGCTGTTCAATAAACACTGGTACACAGTTATCAGTTATGCAACAAGGTTGTCGTTTACTTCGGAATGTAAAACCTACATTTCCGAGGTAGTGAATACAACTTCAAATATTCAGGATGACCTTTGAATAAGGTATACATTGATTTAACTCGTGAGGCATTACGGTGCACCTGTTACTTATGAATAACAAAGCGTGGACACATTGGTATAGAATTATCTTTGGAACTGGTGGACCGATTTCAACAGGACTTCAACATTTTTTTTTAATTGACTACCAAAGTTACATTTTTGGGCAATGTGTCGATTATCCTGTTTTTTGTACTCGTATAGGCTTGCAATTGTTGCTGACAGGAAAAAGCCGTTAATTTACAGTTGCCATTCCTATCGTTTGCTAATTCATATCCAAGTCAATGTCGTGTCGAATTCAAATGCCACACGATTTCCGTGTCCATTAATATTTACTGAACAAATATCGAGGAAATTGTAACAGAACTTTTAATGCGGCGCAGGTGGCCTCTTCAAATATTTGATCGCTTATTGTTAGTTACGCCCTTCAACTTTACCAATAAATTGATTGTAAGAAATTGACATATTCTTCACAAGTTACGTTTCTCACTGTGGCATCATTGTAAAGTTTAAAAACTGGAAATAAAATAATGAGGGGTCAAGTGTAGCTAATGATAATTAAATTAAAACTAACTTGAATTTTACTGACAACAAATTTATGAAATAACCAGTACGTAGCGGGACAACGCGTGTGAGTTTTAATTTTCAGTAAATAGAACAAATTAACTTTCACTCAAACTGTTCCACTTGGCTTCAAATGATTGCTCATTGTACACGAAGGTCACGTCACTCGGAGGCAGGCACGTTGCCCGCCACGCCAGAAACCCCGTCGAAGTAAATCCAATATTGCAACGAACTCAAGTATTCTCAAGGTTTTTTATGATTCTCTTGGCAGAGATCTTTACTGCACAATGTCAGGGTGACGGCTCTCGCCACGTAATTCAATACCCTGTCTATATAAATTATTCCTGTCATGTTACTTTGTTGAATTTTGATTCCGTTTCGCATTTTGATTGGCTACTCAATAGTTTATAATACTTCTTAGATCTATGTGCAAACTTGTACCTGGTACCTTAAAATGTAAACACTACTTCTTCGGTGCAAACATCAAGTTTCAAACATGCCCATATAAAGTTTATTTTAGGATCACGACTCGACCATTTTCTTACAGAGGCTTTAAAACATATTACGATACCGTCTCGGCTGATATAGCTAAGTAAAACTCAAACTACATACTCCTGGTCGATTTGACTTTTCGCATCTAGCACTCGGAAATTTACAATTTTAACATTTACCTATTAATAACCGGAATTCAGCTCAGCAGTTCAAAAGATAATTGCCCAAGCTCTCTTAAAAAATACTTATGAATTGAGAACCGCCTTATTTTAAAAGTCGGTTAAAAAGTATATGCCGTGTATTATGTAGTATTTTAATGATGAATGCGCAGGTTAACAGTAATAAGAGATCGGTCGAGTAATCACGTTTTGTAATTACGGTCCAAGGCCTGCGTTTGCATGGTGAATGCCTCCATTGTTTGATGAAAGACAAAAGTAGCGACCGCACGCCGCTCTTGCTGTTTGTCTTATGTGACCCAAACCTTAATAAAAAGTCATGCAGTGACAGTTGTTATTGTTTATTCATTTTGAATCTCATTATTGTAAAACTCATAAAAGCTTTGCAACTTATATAAGCAACTATAGAAAATATTCGCTAGAATTTATTAAGTTCAAAATGTAGATGATCAAATTATTAAAATATGTTTTGACTGTAGAAGAGATTATAAATGATTCTTTAAACTTCGAGGTAGTTTTGGTAATTTCGTGTTAAATGCACATTTGGCCTTTGGATTTTTCACTGTACGACAGTTTACAAGTTCTCAATAAAGTAAACTCGAAAGCAGATTTAAGTTAGTAATAATATACCTACAAATGCATCGTCATGCAATATTAAATAGAAAGTAACTTTAAACGAAGTTGTGACCTCAGACGCAGTTAGAATAACACGGTCGTGAGAACTAATTGTCATTTGGACTAAACATACATTGTATGAAATGTCGGCCGATAACGTGCCGTGAACGTACTATTGACTGTACAGCACGAATGTGATTTATGTCGCCACTCATTCAGTAAATCCATTCCCGCTGAACGACGATTACACTCGTTAATATTACGAAGAGGCGGAGCTCGCACGGTTTGAACTGGGTCATTGGTCAAGGCTACACGCGGACACTAGTTCACGAAGCTTTTGTGATGGGATATTAGCCCTTCACGGCCCCATTCTAAATACCACTTTCCCTCAATAACTATCACCCAAAGACAATAAGTGAAATTGAAGGTAGATACTAAAACATTAATGGGAATCACAGACATTACTGTTATTTGGGCCAATGCTATAAAGAATTCATTGTTTACGCTGTATTGTAAGCTTCTCTTCAAAGTAGTTCGTAATTATTGAAACTTATCTGCTTTGTATCG